CGGCAGGTCGTGGTTGATGCGACCCGTCTAAATTACTTTTATAAAGGGGGAAAAAAAAAAAAGCCAAGCGAAGCATGTGCTTGCCAGTGGTTTGCATGAAGCTTTCCTCAGGTAGCGGCATCGCCTTCGTGGTTGTAGAAGTTGTTAAACTTTTACTTCAGGAAGGATGTCGTGTTGTGGAGATGAGCTCCGGTGCCGTGCCCTCCATACCCCACGTTTCTGAGTGTGAAGCCGGCTGGGTGGCTCAGGCGAGCCTGTGGCCCTCCATAGCTTTCCAGGAGCTGCCGTCCCTGACAGAGGCCGTGTCCTCTTCCCCCATTACGGGCTGGAAACGCCAGGAGCAGTGGTGATGAGCAGCAGGCTTGCCGTTTGTTTTGCAGGCCTTTGGGAGCGTGTGCGGCTTCATATGGGTTCAAGCAGCACCTTGTGTGGCCCAGGGCAGGGTATTTTGATAATTAAGATACTAGCTGTTGGGCTGGAAACTCCCGGAAGGAGGTTAGGTGAAGAAAGCAGGGGTAGGAAGCAGGAACTTCAGGGAGAGAAACTTCTTTTTCTAGGCGTTATGAGAGGGCATCCAGGGAAGTATAAAACCTTCATATTTACCAGACTGTATAATGCTAGCATAACATTTATTCAGAACCTCAGCACCTTGCCTGTCGGCTTTGGTGGCATATAGGATCTTGCGTGTAGACAGAAAGAGCCTTCACTTCGCTTCATCTTCTGTCCCTACTTGCCTGGTGAACTTGTACATTGCAGCTGTTAACAGGGGAAGTACCTGCTTTGTGTGCCTGTCCCACATGCCTGAGGTAACAGCAAACTTCTTCGTATTAATTAGAAGCAGTTAGTACTCCTGCTTCAAAGCATTGGGAGTTTGAAAAAAATCACATTAGCAATGCAGTCTTTTTCTATTACAGTTCCCCCTGCTGACAAATAAAGAAGCAGAAAAATAGTCAAAATATAAAAAAAAAAACCAAAACAAAACCAAAACCAAAAAGTAGCCCCCAAACCCTTAAAATGCTAATGGCATCATGGGGGACAATAAATCAAACTGCTGGTAGGAGAAATATCTTTAGATATATGTGAAGAACTTCTGACTCATCTAGTGTCAGACTTAGTGACGATAAGCGGGATGTGAAGAAATACAAAGTTCAACATTAAATCTAGTGACAGGACCAATCATACAGTTAGAGGTATATTTTTTTTGAATATGAAACTCTTAGTGAATTGATTTTGGAAGATAATGGAAGATACGCAAAGAAAACTCAACATGCTGAGTGTTCAGCAAAAATCAGTTCTGAATCAGTCTAAGACAGGAAAGGTATTAAATCAAAGGAGGTCTAACATGTTATATAAGTTATAGAATCAAATTATTATAATTTGAAGATTAACATTGAAGCTGAATGAGACTTCATGCCTTAAAAGTGAAGACTCTACTAAGAGAGGGTAGACTTTGTTATTATTACAAAAATACTATTTTGACAAAAAAAGTGTAATAGTGCAACACTGACTTTGGTTTGGCGCTGGATGTGTACCCTGGGATTAATACTGGCATAACTCTATCTGTAGTTTTAAAAGTGAAAAAAAAAAAAAAACAGACCTTGAGAACCCATTAGTGACTTGCTGGTTTGTTTTTTTTTTTTTTTTTTTTTAAATCTGTTGAGTGATATTCAAGCTCATCTGTCACAGACTTGTCCTTTTGTTTTGTTTTCACCCATTGACCTTCATGCAAATTTAATTAGAAAGTAAGAAGGTAAAGGAAGAGAGCTGATCTGATACATAAGTTACCTCATCTTTAGCACTTCGGGCAACATAATAATTCAGTCTCTAATAGGCTGCTAAAATTTTTAGTATTTGAATAGACATTGGTGAGGAAACTGTGTTTACTCGATCCTTCTGCGCACTTTCTGTCTGCTTAGAAAGGATTCATTATGTTTCTGCGTCTTGGTTCGAGTGTAATGAATGTTGCTTTGAAATAAATGACAAAATACACGTTTACTGGTAATGTGCCAGCTGCCTTGTTACAAGCAGGGTTTTAATTGTGAGGAATTTTTTAATTCAGAGATTTTACAAATGGTTTACGGAGTGGGCTATGCATTATTTCCTTGGAGACCTCTTCCTTACCTTCTGTGTCTGCATCAGAGACATCATCTCTTTGGCATCTACAGTAATGGCCAGCTGGAAGAAGTTATCTTATTCTACTATTGCAAATTGTCTTGTCAGAGTTAACTGAGAATTTTAAGGGTTTGGGGTGTGGTGTTGAACTTTTTGTTTAACATTTGAGACGAAACCTTTCTTCCCTTCTCTAGGCATTAAGAACTTTATCTAGATTTTTAAAATTATGTTGCTGCATGACTCTGAATTTAGTTTAGAGTAACATCAGGTCTTTGCACTGTGTCATTGCGTTCTGCGTGCTATATGTCATAGCCTGGATGTTTTGGGACAGCTTTGCAAGAAACTCTACATCTTACATGAGCAAGTAGCTAAACGAAAGCATGAAATCCGCAGTCACTACACATAGAGAAAGGTGTTCAAAGTCATGAGAAAATTTCTGTCGCTTCGCAGCATGGCATGGGTACGATCAGGGTCAGTGCAAAGGCGGGTGCTTCAGCTGGCTGCTGGAGCGGGACGGGCAAATGGTGCTGCAGTGGCTGGCGCGCAGCTTCCTCCGCTCTCCCACGGTGCATGCTGAGAGGCTTCTGGTGGTGTCATCTTGTGCAGCAGGGAGCTCTCAGAAAGCGCCAACCACCTTCTCGTAACAGACATGCACAGGAAATTCTGTCATACCTCTTCTTCCAGTAGTTATAGGAAAGGCTTTTTTGTTTCCTTTGAGTATCAGTTAGCTGTTTCTTGTCAATTAGCACAGGCAGATGCAGGGACCCCTGCGAGGCTGTGAGGAAAGGTGGCTGCTGCTGTAGGACCTTCTCCTGGTCCAGGTGCTGTTTTGCTCTTAAGATTCTTCATATGCAGGAAGCTACGTCTTTGATCTTAGAGCCTTTCGCTAGATTTAATGACAAAATCAGTGCTTTAATTAAACCAAAAAGGTAAGGATATTCACCTGCAGCTCCTGCTGTTTTGGCAGTTCTAATGGTTTTTTTTAACCCTTTTAATTTAGTCAAAGTTGTTGTTGTTTTTTCTTTTTTCCTATTTCTTTTGAATCTGTGAAGACCTGAGTATCTGACAGTTTACATTTCAGGAAGGATCAGAAGCCAGGCTGTCTCTCTAGAAATGATGTGGCATACCAAATGTGAAATTTTAGAAATGAGAGAAATGTCCCTTAATTTCTTCAAGTAGTAATCGGTGGTTCTAGCAAGTAGCTGAAAATACTTGTGTTAACTGTGACTTTTATCTAGCTCATGTAAAAATAGCTTTTTGTAAGTAGTTAGTCCAGTTCCTTTACAGTTGTACTGAAGTGCAACTTCCACAGCCAAAGTGATCTAAAAGATCTGTATACATATCTGTCATCATCTCTAATGTCTGTTCTTTGGCATAAATACCGAATAATGGAATTCGATTACAGGTCTTGCTTATTTTCAGAAGACCTTGCGCAGGTGTTTTTTTACTCTTTCCTATAGTTTTTGGTACTGTATCATTTAAACATCTGTGTACAACAGAAAAGGGATTATAAAGCTTTCACTTTTCCAGTTGATTTTTCAAACAAAGTTTGGGGAGTAAAGACCTCAGATGCAGAGAGGTGTTGTGTCTATGGCGTTAGTTCTGATTGTTGAGCTTGGGTTTGTTTCTTTGTTCCACCTCTTATTCCTCTACTTGGTTGTTCTTAATTATTTTTGTATGTCTTTGGAGTTGTGGTTGGGGTTTGTTTTCCCTTCTAAATAAAATAAGTCCCTTTCATGTATTTACTAAATTATAATTCAATATATTTAACCTATTGTTTTTAAGGTGAAAAAGAAAACTGTTTAATCAACGAGCCAAGATGCAGAGCACTTCCAATTACCTCTGGCTGTTGTCTGACATTCTAGGACAGGGAGCTACTGCAAATGTTTTCCGGGGACGACATAAGGTTTGTGAGGAATTACTAATCTGAGTAACATGTAAAACCGAAACTTTTTCATATGTGAGTAGCGTCATGAAATCAACGGAAAACTGTTCAAGATTTAGGCCTAAAGCGAATGTATCTTTGTAACTATTCATACTTAGTTTTTAGTTTTTAATATTTATCCATTGAATTAGAGTTCTATACAGTTATTTCTGAGGATTTGTTTTTAATATTGTATTATTTGTCCTTGTAAAATATTAACTGTTATTAATTCTTCATTCCTCCATTCTTCAAATACTCTTTGCTTAAGAATTTAAATAGGAATAAAAGTCGTATTGGTTCTTATTACATGATATGTCACTTTTGTCTTTGTTAAATTCTCTTTTCGTAGTTTTTTCCTGTTCTTTTAAAACCCATTTTTTGTGATTTTTATGATTTTGTACCGTAATATTCTTAACATATTATCGTATTGGATGAAGTTGCTGTTAGTCTTTGTCCATAAGTCAATGCTTCATACGTGTCTAGGACACCATCTTCTTGGTGACATGCCTTGAGTAATCGGTACAAAATAGGACATCTTTGAGCACTTTTGCCATCTAAATGGTATACTGATATGTATGTTGTAACCTGAGCAAGGGGCTAAAATGGCCTTACTTGTGCGGGTCATTCTATTCCTGTGAATTTCACAGTATGCCTCACAAAATGAAGATAAGCCTAGTTACAGCCATAGTAATGACAGTCTGTGTGAAATCAGTATGAAGTTATATATAAGCTACAGTGTTTTCTAGGTTCCACATTTAGCTGTGAAGCAACACTAAGCAATAATCGAGCAGTTAATGTGCTTTTCTGGGTGAGTGAATTTCAGCACAGAGTGATTCCCCTGTAAAGCTTATGGTTTCATGGTTGCACCTCTCATCACCCTCACTAGTCTGAGCGCATGACCTGCAGCTCGTTGTCAATGGGAGAAAACTTTTACCTGGGCACCAGTAGTGCACGTAAGTGTGATGTACAGCACACTTAGTCTAAGCACAGGAAGACTTTGTCCTTAGAAAGAATCTGTCATACACATGACTGCTAATGTAAGCTTATTCCTAGAGTGGGCACAGGGAGGTACTTTCCCCTAAGAGGGGCAGGAGTTGCACTCTCAGCTGGTGCTGTGGGTGCCTGAGCATGTTGGGGCTTAGTCCCACTTGAGAATTTAAGTCTCTGATTAAGCTCACGACCGGGCTCCTGTCACTTATTATGTGGGTTTGAATTGCTTCAGGATTTTGCATGAGTGGTATGTAGTGCTCAACACTGCCTTCTTTGAAAAAACAAAATACTGCTTTATCAGTATAAACAGGACAATAAAGAAAAAGAGAGCAAGGTTCAGCTTCTGAAAGTTGTCTCTTAAGCAAGCCAAGATTCTCAACTGTAGTATGTGCATGTCTCTTATTGATTTGTGCAAGTGGCTTACCTCTTGCGGAAAAATTGTTTTTCAGCTAAGTTTATGGGTCATTCTTAAATGTGTAGCCTTTCTTACACTAACTGTTCTTTTTTTAAAAGCGCTTAGATTTTGTGGGCTAACGTTGACTTTCCATTCTGCTAGTCTGTTTGCTTCTAGTCTATATTAAACTAAACCAATATATACATAATTTTTTTTAGTAGAATCTTAATTTCCACCTAAACACAAAATACTATTTTGAAATATTTCTAGTCTTGGGTATGCTTGTATGCACAACAGAAGATTTCAAAATGCTTGGATAATGGGTATGTGTACATTTACAGTCTTATGCTTCTGTTTGATTAGTAATTTGTTTTGAACAGAAAACTGGGGATTTATATGCTGTCAAAGTATTTAACAGTATAAGTTTCCTTCGTCCTGTGGATGTTCAGATGCGAGAGTTTGAAGTATTGAAGAAACTAAATCATAAGAACATTGTCAAATTGTTTGCCATCGAAGAAGAGGTAATGAATTGTTGTAGTTGTGATCTGAGATGCATGGTAGTAACCACAGTAACTGTCTTTTTGCTTTACCCTTACTATAGAGGACAAAGTTACATTTTTAAAGAATGGTAACATATATGATGATATAAATACTCTGACCCAACCATGACTGTTTTTTGTTTTTCTTTCTTTTTTGTTGTTGTTGTTGAAAGAATATGCTTGCTTTCAGTGTTTAGGCATAGGTTATGATTCTTCAAAGCCATCTCGAGAAGCCACTGTCCTAAGCTTTATCTTGAATTAGGATTTTTAAGCTATCTACATGTATGAATATTTAATACCTACTGATAGTTGGAGGTGTTTCAGTAATCCTGACAGTTTTATGCTTTTGCTTTGCAACCAACTAAAATAATGACATAGGACATGTAGAACTGTATGTTAGTATGAATTGCCGTAGTTGTGCTGAAACTGAGACTCGTCAGCTCAAATGAGCCAGATGCTGAGATTAGTAAAGAGGAAAGATGGACCTCTGCTCTTCCGTGCTGTAGCTTCTCATTTGTCCGCTTATCAGTACTGCTGTCCACCCTCTAACTGCCTAGGACTTGAGGCTTTCTTAATTTTCCTCCCCCGTCCAAGTTAGAATATATGAAACAATATAAAAATTCACCTGCACTTCTTTTGAAGAAGATCACCAGAATGGGATTTATGATCTAGCTACAGATTTTATTTTTCTTTCTTTTGAAAGTAGGATCCTGTGGTTATATGTAATTTCTGACAGTGTTTTCACAATAGTCACAGACTTATCTCTTTACATTTTTTTTTTACAGACAACGACTAGACACAAAGTACTAGTTATGGAATTTTGTCCATGTGGGAGTTTATATACAGTTTTAGAGGAGCCGTCTAATGCCTTTGGTTTGCCAGAGTCTGAGTTCTTAATTGTTTTGAGAGATGTGGGTATGTAGACTTTGCTCTTTAGTCTAATTTGTTGACTGAAAGGAACTCATACTTGTTTTGTTTATCTAGAAAGAGCAAGAGATGAGGAATTTGAATAATTGAACAAATTAATGTGGTCATATGGAGTCACATCTTTTATTTATGTCTATATTGGTATAGATAGCTGCATTAAGAAGCCATTTCTATTTAAAGCATTGCTATAATTCTTTTTTGTTTGTTTCAAGATTATTTGTTACATGTTGGACTGATTCCTAGTGATAATTAATCTCAGAAGATTAAATTAGAAAAATAATAAGGTTTACCTGTGTTTGCCTGTTATAAAATTTTCTTCCATTACTTTATGGGAAAGATGTTTCTGAGAGCAAGAAATACTGTAATTTAGCTGTTCGAAAGAAAAAAAGGTGAAAATGCTTACAAAATTCTCTGGTCCTGGTCTTTTTGTTAATTGAGTGTCCCTTCTCGTTCCCATTTCCCAATGAGAAAGTAAACATATGTCTTCCTAGCCTCAGTGACAATTCAGTGCTTGTGCAGTCTGTGTCAAGATGTATACATAAATTCTGTATTATTTTCTTTTTTATTGAAGTGGCTGGGATGAATCATCTCCGGGAGAATGGAATAGTGCACCGTGACATCAAACCAGGCAATATAATGCGTGTTATAGGTGAAGATGGTCAGTCTGTTTACAAACTTACAGACTTTGGTGCTGCGAGAGAACTTGAAGACGATGAACAATTTGTTTCTCTCTATGGCACAGAAGAGTATTTAGTAAGCCCATACGATTTCACTTTCTGTCGAAGAAATGTTTAAAGCCCGGGGCCCTTTGTGATGAGAGTTGAATAGGTGAAGGTCAGACTGTTGGGAATTAGTATTAAACCTTGGTATTATAATTGTTTTTATAACTTTCCACCTTTTTCACCTTGGGTCGTGCCAGTTCTTCTGCTGATCTGAGCACAGTAGCCTTTAAATAATTTCCAGGTCCAACTTCCACTGTTGGCTTGTGTGAAAGGAAGAACAACAGTATTTTAGTTATGAATGTCTTTGCCTTTATCTCTGTAGGTATTTTTCAGTTTGTATTTGAGCTACTTGGATGATGTTAGGTGTAGTTGAGATCCACTTGACATCTTAGTTAACCAAAGAGAGGCAGGCGGAGAAGCATCAATACAGTCATCTTAGGCATAATTTTCTTCCTGCCATGTTTTCCCACATGCAGTATTGTAACTGATACTCTCATCTGCTATGGATCTTTTTCCAATTTGGTTTCTGTTGTTTCAGGATCACCTGGAGGAATACTTTCTCCTCTTCTTTAGTGATGTTCTATTCTAGTAGTCAGTCTTTAGCTAAATTTTAAAATATTTTTTGCAAACCTTTAATAAAAGTGGCTATCATACCTAGGAACACTTTTGTGATATTCTATCACAATAACTTAAGCAAATTCTGTGATACCAGGTAACTTTGCTTTTTGATTAAGGAGCTGAAAGTCTAGAATGACAAATGATCTTGCTGTGAAATGATAGATTGAGCTTTTTTTCTTTCTGTTGTTCATAAAGCAATTCTAACTTCTTTGTTTTCTATTTTTTTTCTCTTTAGCATCCTGATATGTATGAGCGAGCAGTTTTGAGGAAAGAGCATCAGAAAAAGTATGGAGCAACAGTTGATCTGTGGAGCATAGGGGTGACCTTTTACCATGCTGCAACAGGGAGTTTGCCTTTTCGACCTTTTGAAGGACCTCGTAGAAACAAGGAAGTGATGTAGGTAATTTAGAAGGAGGATTTTATCTGTTCGTAAATTGAGTCAGTCCATGGAATGCTTTTTATCAAAAAATCCTACACACATATAGTAAACATTAAAATAGTGAAAATATTTAAGGAAAAATGTTCTTTAACTTTGTTGTGGTTTAACTCCAGTAGGCAGCTGAGCACCACACAGCTACTCTCTCACTCTCCCGCAGCGGGATGGGGAAGAGAATTGGAAGGGTAAAAGCGCGAAAACTCATGGGTTGAGATAAACACAGTTTAATAAGTTAAAAACAAACAAACAACCACCCCACCCCCACCCCTGAACCCAAAGGAAGACAAACCCAACAAAACCAAGTGATGTAAAAAAAGCCCAATTGCTCACTGTCAGCCAACTGATGCCCAGTCAGTCCCTGAACAACTGCTGCCCTGGCAAGTTTCCCCCCCCCAGCTTTTATTGCTGAGCATGATGTCGCATGGTATGGAATATCCCTTGGGGTCAGCTCTCCTGGCTGTGTCTCCTTCCAGCTTCTTGCTTGCCCCCAGCCTACTCGCTGGTGGGGCGGTGTAAGAAGTAGAAAAGGCCTTGATGCTGTGTAAGCACTGCGCAGCCATGGCTAAAACATCCCTGTGTTATCAACGCTGTTTTGGTCACAAATCCAAAACACAGCACTGTATGAGCTGCTATGAAGAAAATTAACTCTATCCCAGCCAAAACCAGTACAAACATTCTGCTTCCACAAGGATTTTACTGTGTGGCACCTTAAGACCTGAATTAAGCATCAGAGTTCCCCCAAAATACTGGTGTTTTTCCATGTCTTTCCTTCACCATGGCACTAGGCTGGTCTGTTGCAGCGTGGTATATATAACTTGGCTATTCAGGCAAATTTGTGGTATTCTGAAATGGGTTTTCAGTGCTGCAAAGTTTTGTTCTTTAAATGATTGTCTTCCCAGGCAGTCTTGAAATGCATGCACTACCCGTGAGACTGATGTTTTTTTGAGTAGCATAGTTGTGGACTGTGGCTGAAGATAACAGGGTTATCTCCTGAATGGGAAACAGAAGTTGTGTCTATGACATGCTGGTTGGAATTGATTCGTGTTTCATCACAGTCTAGTTCTATTTAGTTGTTGTTTTGTGCGTTGCATTTAAAAAATAAAGGAAGGTGGTATTTGGGAACTCTTAACAGGCCAATAACATCTCTGTTCTGGTACTCCTTGCAAAGCTGACTCCAATTTTCTTAGTTTAAGGAACCGCCCGTCCTGTGATTATCCCACAGACATTCTTGTTTTATCTTCTTCAGAGAGAAGCAAGGAACATATGTTTTGTATGTACCTTGTCCTCCAAAAAGAGGAAGCACAACTGAAATTTTCTGTTGCAAAAAGCCTGTTGCTTCTGATTCGTTTCATGAGAAATTTGAGAAATATTAGCCTGTTCAGTACAAAGTTAGTGCCAAATTGTATCCAAATGCTAGATGTTTCCAAGTTAAAGTAATTTCTCAAAGCCCACATTCTGTTCCTTCTTTATCCCCAAGTGACTTTGTCGTGGCTAAACGTCATCTCTTGCCATGGAACATGCTAGAAGTTAGTTATGTAAATGCTTAAATTGAACTGCCTTGGAAATCTGATTTTGATTAATTAATACTTGTGAAAAAGCTTCACCGTCCTTCAGTGATGCCTGAAATCTCTCCTAAATTTTTCCCAAACCTGAGGTAGACAAAGTTGCTTCTCCAACATAGCCCGAAGTGTTTCCTTTTCATTGTTTACTATTTTAGCACCATAAGTGTAAGTGAAGCTTCCTAATTATTGCACCACCTACAAATTTAGGCCAACCTGGTGTTTAGATTTATATTATTGATACCCCTTTGAGGATTAATTACTAGACCTATGTATGTATAAGAGGTAGTGGTTGAAGTCTAATATTTTTGTAATGTATCACAGGTATAAAATAATCACTGGAAAGCCTTCTGGTGCTATTTCTGGAATACAGAAAGCAGAAAATGGACCAATTGAGTGGAGTTGGGAGATGCCTGTTTCTTGTAGTCTTTCAAAGTAAGTTTGAACTCCTCAAAAAATGTTTCAGTGCTACTTGATTGGGCTTTTCCAGTTATTCTTTCAGGATTGGGTCTTTGGAACAGAGATCTGACTGTTGCAGTTGTTTTCTTTGAACTCTTCAGTAGATTGGTACAGTCTACTATTAGGTTATCAAATGCTTTTTCTTCCCATCTGTCCAAATAATTTTATGACTGCTATTTACAAATGAGCACCTGAGAATCTGAAGTGGTATAAGTAGAAGAAAGATTATTACTATATTTCCGCCACCCTCAGGAAAGAGTATAAAGATTTAATAAACTTTGAATTGATGGCCCCCCTTTCTTGCAAGAACATGACTTCAGACATTACAAAGGTTAGGCAGTAGGAAGAAAATTGTAAGAAAAGTCAGTTCAGAGACTTGCATTTTTGCCAGAAAAAAAAAATCACATCAGCACACTTTAACATATTCTCATAGTATTTTTTAAATTTTTTTTATCATCATATTTTGCTTCATATGTCATAATACTCAGTAGGAAGAGCCATGGAAGATCTAATCTCAATATGATCTTAAAAACACCTCCCATAACCCATTTACCTATTTATCTTCCTGAGACTTCTTCAGTACTTTAAAGTTACTACTCTTTTCTAGTGAAGGGAGAAAGAAATTGTTCTGTGAACAGACTCTGGAAACAAACTTTTCTGAAAGCCAAATACGTAGATTGAAGTGAAAGTCTGGTTTACATAAATTCATTAGTTTATAGTGTGCAGAACTTGCAATTTACATGTATTTTTCATGATACTACTCAGTTGTTTCCTCTGCTTATTCCATACAATTGAAGTGCTTGAAATCATAAAGGAAGCAGATTTTTTCATTAAACATCTGTTTACAGTAATATTTTCAAGTAGCATTTAAACAGTATTTACTGCTGTAAGTTTAGTAGTAAAGTGAGTTTGAGCACAGCATCCACTGACCTCTAAGGAGGCCATCAGTGTGCTTGTAAGCCACTGGAGCTCACTTCAAAATGTTACCAGTTTTACCGCTGGATTCAGGCTTGACGTGTACATAACGTTAAAACTTTGAAGAAGTTGCTCATGATAACACAGGAGTAGGATCCATGAAGTTCCTTGCAATTCAGATTCTCAAAGTAGAAATACAAGAAATATAAGCTGGCCTTTCTCCTAGAATAGTAATGACTGTAAGGCAATAGTTGCACATTTTTCTTTGCAGCTGCATGCGTGGAGTACTTATTCAGCCCCATCTCAATCAGGATGAATTCTGTTAGTGTTGACAATTTAAATAATGAGTCTTTGCTAACACAGCTGATTTTGATTGAAAGCAACATAGTGTGCTCACACAAGCAGCTCAGCCAGCAAACCATAAATGGCAGTAGCTTCCTTCAAAGTGATAAACTGTGGTGAGTGTGTAGGGTGAGCTGGATAAAAGACTACTGCCCAGCAGTGGTAGAAGGTGACCTTTGCTCTACAACGTAGACTTTTTAAATTGCGTACCATTCTTCCAATGCCTGTGAAATTTATCGGATACCAAGGGAAAAATACTTGATAGTTGAGCCTAAAAAGGTAAGAGACAAAGTATGTGTATTAATGAAAAACAATGCACATTACCATTGAACATTTTGTTGTTCAGTAGCGGGGGAAAAAAAAAAGCACTGGAGTATTCTTCAAGGGATAATAGATTTGCATTCATGAGACAAGTCAAATTAAGTATTGCAGTTGATTACAAGGTGCAAAGATCCAAGTAGATCCAACTTGTCTTATCTCTTCCTGGTGTCCTCTAGGGGCCTGCAAGTTCTGCTCACACCTGTCCTTGCGAATATTCTTGAAGCAGACCAGGAAAAATGCTGGGGATTTGACCAGTTCTTTGCAGAGACAAGTGACATACTGCACCGAATAATAATCCACATCTTTTCACTACAGCAGATGACCTTGCACAAAGTTTATATTCACAGCTATAATACGTAAGTGTTCTCTCTCTCTCTCTGTCTCTCTCTCTCTGTCTCTCGGAAAGAGTACGGTGACCTCAGATCACCAGTGTTACAAATTCAGTAGTCTTTCCTTGGCAGTTTATTTGAGGAAGTGAAAGCTTGTAATTCTCCTGTGTAGTCACCGTGCATAGAAGCATGTTGACCAAAAATAAAACCAAAATCATTGAAGGTCAAATCAACTGATCTTAAACTTGGTCTTAGTCAGTGACAGAACACAGACTTAATTCTTGACATGTTACAATGTGTCCGTGTTCTTAATGGATACCAACTCATCCCACATTTGTATATGTTACTTATTTACAAAGTAGTTTTCCAGAGATTGTGTTCAACTCTTGCTTTTCTTATCCTGTCCTCAAGAATACAAAATGTGCACGTCATCTGTGTCTGACATTAAAGTCTTACAGGAGTTCTGAAGTTGTAACTGGTACAGTTTAGGATCCTGAGTTATATGGAGTTCACTTTATGGTTGTTAAGTCCTGATGTTAGAAGCTGTAATGTCTGGTTTACAGTTTGATAGAAAAATAAGTGCCTTTTCTTTGGCTTATTACAGGTAATACAGAGCATGTGTTATTCTCTAATATGCGAACAGATATGGTTATTTCATCAAATGTGTAAATACAATTCTGGTGTTTTCCAATTTTCTTTTCTATTCTGTCATTTGTATTTTGAGAGAGCCCAAATACTATCTCTGCAGAGGAATCTTGCTTGTAGCTCAAACTGCTGTTTGTACTTTATTTTTAAAATTTATTTTATTATTATTTACCTTTATGATTATTTATATACTAGCTGTAGTATTAAGAAGTGACAGTGTACTAGTGCTGCACAGGAGGCAAATTGGTCCTTCCTGTTAGCGTGCTTAAGGTTTTTCTTCTTTGTGGGAGGTTTTGTTTGTTTGTTTGTTGGGTTTTTTTGGGGGGGCAGGGAGGTTTGTTATAAATTCTTATGCCTTGTATCCATTGATTGCTGGAAATAAAATACCAAGTGTCTTTTGTCTTCCTTATCACTGCTGTTTTAGGAGATAATCTGGCTGTCTGTTAGCTTGCAGGCTGAATTTAAGGTGTGTGCTTTTTGACATGTAAAACACCAGACTCTCTCTTGGAGAGACCATCCATCTCCTTTGAAGAAATGGGTATGCCTGAGAAAACTAAAGTGTGCTTCCTTCCTCTCCTCTGGTGTTGCCTGGTTTTACTGACCTTCAGACTTCAGGCCAAAGCGAGTTTGTTTACACAGACGTGCTTTGGTGGAAAATCAGAGGTAGAAAGGCAAGTTTGATATTTTGCAGGAAATAGCATTTATTTTTGTAACAGAGCAACCTGGAGCCTTAGCCAGTGTGCTGCTTTTTGTTCTGCTTATAAGTCAAATGTTTTATATGTAAAACCAGTTCTTAATTAATCAGAAGTAAAAGGGATTTTTATTTAATACAAAATCTGTATTCTTGAACTATTGTAGTGAGTCTTAACTACTACCGAATGTATTGTTTGTATTATAGAGCTGCTATATTTCATGAGTTGGTCTACAAACAGACAAAAATACCATCTCAGAATCAAGAACTGATATATGAAGGCCGGCGTTTAATACTAGAGCCTGGCAGATTGGCACAGCACTTCCCCAGAACAACTGAGGAGAATCCTATCTTTGTAGTAAGCAGAGAGGCTGTGAACATTGTTGGATTAATCTATGAAGAAGGTATATGAAAGTCATTTCCCCTTTCTTACAGCTATCTTTCGTAAATAGTTTGGATTATTTCATTATCGTTTTATGTCCGTTATGTCTTAGAAATAGTGTTTGAAAAGTTTTTCTGATGCCTGAAGTTCTAAGTATGCAGTCCAATTTTTCTTCAAAAATGCTGAGTATCCGGCATATTTTTACAGAAGCGGTAGCTGCTTGTAATGTTCCTAGTGCTGTGAACCTGAGCATTTGTGTGTTAAGATGTAGTGGTGCATATGGAGTTCGGAAATTTTTTGAAGCATGACACTTTCAACAAGTAGAAAGGAACACTGTAGAATGTAATTCAAAGCTGGTTCTTTTGTTCCATTACTTACTAAGTGGAAATTCAAGTTTTGCTTTTTTTTTCTTTTATTTGTCATGAATTTGGTTAACCTTTCAGTTAACAGAGGAGGTCTTAATAACTTAACCTTGGCTTAGAGGATAAGGTAATGCCATAACAAAAAAAAAAAAAATTAAGTTTTTTCATTTCCATTTATCATTGAGAGGCTTATAGAAAGTCCTGTGCCAGAGCCCTTTTTAAGAGTTGAGCTGGAGGACATGCCTGCAGTTGAGAGGTCAGTGTTGCTTTTGTCAGTATGTCTATGTACTGACTGCTCGGGCCAGCTGGCACTCACACAGAGGTGCCGAAGAGTGTGGGGGTAGGTGAGCTGTTTGTGGAAGGATCAACAGGGCCTTTATATTGTGTCAGAGCTTTCTGAAGGAGTCAGTGAGCATGAGAACAAAGGAGATTCAGCTGATAGAGGCTACCCTAGGTTTTAAAAAGCTATTTGGTGAAGTCCTGCCTTTAAGAGTCTCAATGAAACCAAGCAGCCGTGAGATGAGAGGGGACGGTCTCCCATGCGGGCAAACATAGAACACAAAGCTGAAGAACAGCAATAAATGATTGGCTTTCTCAGTGGAGAGAGATCGCTAGTGGAGGCCTGCATGAAATCTGTGCTGTGCAGCACGTTCAAAAGCGAGTCTGGAAAAGGAAGTGACAGGCAGTTTGCTGAAGATACCAAGTTATTTAAAGCATTTAAGACAAAGGCTGGTTTTGAAGGTGCGCATGAGAACCACACGATATTAAAAGGCTTGGCAGTAACAGATTAGTTGAAAATCCACGTAGATACACATAAAAACAGTGTACAGTGTGGTGGTGGGGGAACAGTGTGAACTTTTGAAGTCTCTTATGGAAAATAAGAAAATACAGATGTTTGTTTTATGTTTCAGTTTTACTTCCTAAAGTACATCAACGTTATGATTTGGATGGAGATGCCAGTATGGCTAAAGTGAGTAATTATGGTTTTAATTTATATACCTGTCTCAGATAATGATACTGAAATGAAAGCTACTTGATTTTCAGATGAGTAATGTTAATGAAACTATTTTTAATATGCTAGTGAGGATTCTGATTGACAGAAATGTATTTGTTAAGAAGGGCTCCAAAAGTATATTAAAGCCATACTTTGTATGCAAAATATGTTTGTATATTTTTTAAGAAAAGAACAAACCCAAAAACCAGCCTTCTAAAGTCCAAGTGCTTTGCTACTGCATAATTCAGTGATGGGGGGGAAAGGAGCCTGCCACTTGGGAGTCCTGAAGGTAGTTAGAAGATTCATAACATCCCCTGTGATGGTGCAAAACTTAACGTAAGAAAAATAATTTTCATCTTTCTCTCAATAGAGAGGAGTCTCTAGGACTCTTCAGGAGAGTGGAATTTCTGTTGCCTCTCTTGCAAATTTTCAGAACCTGTGGGAGACAAGTAGAGGATGTTTCATTCTTTCAGTCATTTTTCTAAAATTACTGAATGTATACATTGCCATGCTTTGACTTTGTGACTGCCATTTATACTATGCCTATAAAATACTGGCTGCTGAGGAGCCTTGTATTCAGGCATGGCAGTCCTGAAAGTATATGTCTCTTTGAATACCAGAAGTCTTTAAAATTAATAAACAGAAAGTCATCAGTTGATATTAAGTATTAAAATATTGTAAATTATCATTTCGGAAACTTTGTTCACAATTCTAAATAATGGAGCAAACTTGTAAGTGGAATTAGGTGAATGAATGGAGTCCCTAGCCTTAGAATTTAAAAATGTGTCATTTTTTACAAGTTTCTTTAAATGTATGTGTTTAATTCCTAAACTACTGAAGAAATGTACTTGTGACTTTCCAGAAATTAAAGTAAATCCCGAGAGTAAGTGGTGTCATTTTTGTTTAAAAGAGACTTATTTTCATCCCTAACAGATTATTTCAACATAACTGGAAAAACGCATTACCATGTTTAGCTCTGTCTCCATAATGAGTGCTTGGTTATCTCCCGACTAAAGTTTGGGCAAAGTTACGCATTTTAAACTACCATCTTCATGTTAATCTTTCTTTTATTAATCTGTGTTACTTTCTTGTGATTAATTGACTTGAAACAATTGTTAAGAGAATGCCAGATTAGTAACAATGTCTGCTTTTTCCACCAGGCAGTAACAGGTATTGTATGTTATGCCTGTAGAGTTGCCAGTTCTTTGCTACTTTACCAGGAGCTGATGCGAAAAGGAATACGATGGCTAATGTAAGCAACTGATTGAATTTCATTGCACTTTTTTTTTTTTTTTTTTAAATTGAGAATACATAATTCTGTGATCTCCCAGTATCTTGGGAGGTTTTCTTTACTCCTTGAATATGAACAGGCTTTCTGAATTTTTTCCTTTTCTGTCATTAAGGAAACAAAAATCATTTTTTCTGACAATAAGGTTTAGGTGTTTGGAATTTGACTTTCTTCTGTGGATAACTTAAATCTAACCTCTGGTAACATGCAGGTACAGCTTGCACAAGATAATTTTATATGAGAATTATACATCTCTAACTGAAAGCAATTCTTACTAGCAGTTATTACTGTAGGTATATTGTATTACTGATTGCTGGTAAGATGGCAGTTGAATACTTTTGTTATAGACTAATGCTTCACTCTTTCAGTGAAATAATCAAGGATGATTACAATGAAATGGTTCATAAAAAGACAGAGGTTGTCATCAGGCTGGATTTCTGCAGCAGAAACATTGAGAAAGCTGAGAAAATGTGAGTAGAAGCGCTACACTGAGTGCGTTGTTTTGTCATTATCATCTTTAATGACGGAGGTATTTTAAGTTATGTTTATTTACAGGGTTTTTGCATATAAAAATTAAATTTGAATCAGCATGGATTTGCTGATGGCAGTGACTTAAGCAGATTCAGTAATATGCTTTACTCAAATTGGAGTGCTAATTTTGCTGCTTAACGTAGTGGGAACAAGTAATTACTATGGAGTAGTAATTGCATGTGTACCTTTTCTCCTTTTTTGACTCAGCTCATTTGCTGTTGTTGACTTTAGAAGCTATAGTAAAGCTTGTACAAAGAATCAAGTAGCTTTCCTTTCATTAGTGCTGTAGTGCTTTTGTCACTGAGTTTGCTTGTGTGTGTTCATTAAGGATAACTTTAAATACTGCCCCTTTTACAGCTTTAAGACCATAGCATTTTCTGCATGGAAGAAATTTTAATGTTGAAATATAACATAAAGCAGCTAAAAAAAAAACAACAAAAAAACACAAACAAAAAAACCCCCCAAAAACCCAAAACACCCCCAAAAACCCCCAAAACCACCAAAAAACAACGCTGCATTAGGATATCACTAGATCACAGTGCATGCACGTAGGGACGCCAAAAGTAAACTGCACAGGAAATTCTACTTCTGTCATTTTTTTAAGTGACTGACTATTATGTTATTTTTGTCTATTTTGGTTAATTCAAATGGCAGAGGTCTGTATCACAGAATCTCACTGTTGCCCATATGGACACATTTAGATCTATATAGTAGAAAGTTTTTTAGAGTGCTTTCTTTAAAACTGACAAAATTTATAATAAGGAGCAACTGAAGGATTGTTATCTTTTAGCATAGGAGACTTCCAAGTTTCAAAGACCACAGAAGGCACCTTATTTCTCGTCTTCCATTCCAAGGAAGCCAATGTTTTCCAGTGGTCAGACTGTTCTGCCCTACCTCTTTCAGTCAAGTGCTGTCTGTAGGAGATGTGCACTTACAATTGAATTCTCCCTCCAAGTTTCATTTTTTCTCTCTCCTGATCTTTGTTTCGTCTCTAAGTCCCACTCAATGTCCAATTCTCAGTCACATTCTTTTCCACTTTTAAAGTGTCCTGGCAGTATTTTGTTCAGTTTCCACAAACTAGCATTAGCTCCGTCTTTAAGGTGCGTTATTCTTACGCAGCCTGATACAAACTTTAAACCCCAGCTCTTCAGAGGATTCTCCTATGGGTAGTTGTTTTCCTATTCAACCTACTGCCAGTCTTCCCCAAATGCTGTCTTGGTCATAGGATTCTCTAAACTTGCTTCCCAGCTGCTCTGAAAATGAAGATGCCCACAAGATGATTAATGCACACATGTAGAGCTCTTAGGTTTGCAGAGTAGACTTAAGAATAGACTTAAGCCATGTTGGAGCTGCTATGCATATGCGAATTGAACAGCTTGTATGTATTAGGGATACCCAAGGATTTGTCATATTTGCTGTGTGCATGCCAAACATGTACAAACTGAGACACCTGGGCTTTAAGTTACTTACTTTAAAAAAAAAAAAAAAAAAAAACAAAAAAAAAAAAAAACCAACCAGTGAAACTAGCAAGATAATAGTATACCTGTGTAGCCTAGTTAGAAATCATCAGGGCTGTAATCCAAACTCTCCTTCAAGCCAATTTACACTAAGTGACAGGACTGGTTCTTGTTTATTCTGTATTTGGTCCAGATAGCTTCTTCCTGCATTCTGCCAGGTCCCCACAAAGAAAGGTAAACAAAGTATTGAACTTGGGCAACGTATGTATTTTTTGAAAGCAGCTGAGCTGGTTTTGATGGTGTCTTTAAAAATAAAATGTGCCTGCGACTGTAACATGAAAAATATCATCCTGAATGATTTACTTGGCACTTGAGCTAGGTCATACGGAAAGTATCAATATGAACAGATGGTGCTATTAACCCAGCCTTTAACGTTTTGGTAGTTCAACCAACGCAAGGTTTTGGTAACTCTGCCTTTCCTATAAGTTTCCACAGAAAAGCATTTTGGTGCACTGGAGTATTAGTTTGTTGTGTGTCGTTGACTACTTTAAGTAACTTTCGTTTGGTAACCTTTTAAAAATTATTTGATGAGAGGAAATAGTTTTACACTGCCTGTTGAGTACAAGTAAGGAGAATAGAATAAAAAAGTCAGGAATGAAAGTTTCAAACTTCTTTTTAACAGTTCAAACGTAGGAAAAAAAATTCAAGGAATTTTTTTTCATAACTAAAATGTTTATAGTATTAATGGCCATTAAAGGTTGTCAGTGTTTCATGGTTGCTGCTTGACAGATACTGTATTTCATATAAAAGAAAAGGTAGTTATTGTTAATCTCTAGAGTCAAGGAATATTTTGAGTGTATTCACTGCTTGTTTATTTTCTTTTTTAACTGTGGGTTGTGGGGTTTTTTTTGTGGTCAGATATGAGAATTTGATGCAGATCAACTTGGAAGCATCAGAAGTGGATGAAATTTCAGAGATACACACAAAACTGTTGCGTGTAAGTATCTTACAAAGGCCGTGTCATTCTCAAAATGGTGTTTCTAAAGAAAAAGCCAATACACAATAACACAGATTTTTTGTGAATAACTCTGAATTTTCAAAGTCATTTCTAGACTGTCAAAGGTTGTTAAAATGCCCATACTGAGATGTGGATATCTTTCTGAAAACAGAGTAAATCCTTTTTATTAGCCCAGTGTAGTGAAAATAATAAGTTCCTGAAAACACAGTCTCATATTCTAAAATACTCAAGTAAAAAATTATAACAACAAAATATATTTTACTTGAAGTTTTTTTCCCTTTCCTTAACAAATTTTAAACTACTTTGTTGGCTTTCTAAAATGATACATACACAAACACACTTCAATGATCTGCTTCGGAATTTGCATCATTTTCCAGACAAGTAAGGAAAAATTGAAAATAACTTTAGGCACTGGTGTCCTGCGAGCAGGTATAAAGTTCTCCATTCTAAAAGCGAAAGTTGATTAGTGCATTTTTATTTTGAAGGTTGTATGAACTGCAGAGAAAGAAAGGTATGAATTATGTGGATAGTCATTATATGAATTCTTAACAAACCAAAAGAACAAGTGTAGAAGTAAATAGGGAATATATGAAAAGTAGAAACTTATTGTTCAGGATGCTGAAAGAAAATAAACATTAACTAACAGAAATGCCAGCATCAAAGATGACTCTTTCTTTAATAACACCATGTTCTAGCAAAGCCTCGGCAGATAATTGGGCGTATTTCTTTAATGAAGGGCAGTGAAACAAATGGGTCTATAGTATTAATGTGCTCAGTCTGTTTTCAGTCTCAAGTAATTTTTTACTTTACCCAGTGGTAAGACTGAACTTTCTTGCCCTTACATAGCTCTCCAGCTCTCAAGGCACAATAGAAACTAGTCTTCAAGACATCAAAAACAAACTTTCTCCTGGTGGTTTACTGGCTGACACCTGGGCAAATCAGGAAGGCATGCATCCAAAAGACAGAAAGTGAGTAACTGTATTGATTGTTTTAATATGTATTGAATTCTACATTGAGTTGTAGTTCATAAAACTCATTAATAGGTACTTAAGTTTATGTATAAAATATCTTATTTTCTTCCTTTTGTCACTCTAGTCCAGAAAGGCTGCAGGCGCTGCTATGTTCCATCACAGATATTTATTATCAGTTCAAAAAAGACAAAGCAGAACGAAGTAAGTAACTTATTTGATTCACTTTTTACATAAATTATAATGTAAAGGACAGGTCAGTCCTTGTTCCACTAGGATATTGGAGCCAGGAATGGAGAGTTAGGCAGCAACATTGAATATGTGTGTAGGTCTTTCTTAGCGAGGTACCGTCTTAAAGCCCATATGAATGAAACGCCGCTATTAATCTCATGAATTTGAATTGCAAGACTGGAGAGGAGAAAAAAAAGTAAATGACCACTTTTACCTACCAGGATAGGAGAAGGAAACCATATAGGAAATAGGTAAGCTTAGTGGAGTTTTACATAAATACAACTAACAGAATTAAACTGGTAATGTCTGTCATCTGCTCTGATCCTAGGGCTTCCTTATAATGAAGAACAAATTCACAAGTTTGACAAGTAAGTTTTGAAGTTACCTTTGGGAAATACCATGATTGCTTTCAGGTCCTTCAGGTGCTCTTGCCAATAACCTCTTCTGTTGATTTTTATTGTAAATTATAACCTCTTCAGGATTGCTTTGTAAAACATTTCCTTTAAATATCTTAAATACATAGGGGTGCCAGCATATGATAATGAGGTGCTTTCTGGCAGTGGAGTTTCTTCACTGATAGACCTTCTAAATGTAGATGTGAAATACCTGTTTGTTATCTGGGCATAACTGTCTTATAGGAAGTATTTTTTTTTTCCTGTTTTTATAGGGAGGAAAAAGCCCTCAGTAAGAGTAAAGTGACTTTGTAACTAAGGCAGAGATAATTTTCTACAGATTAATAAAATACGGGCTAGCTGAATGGCATTCTAGAATGATTTAATCTTCCAGGAAATATAGCACACAAAATAAATTTTAATGCAGTTCTCCATGCCTGTTTAAAATTGTCACTTAGGAGAGGTGGCCACATTAAGTATCTGTATGTAACCTGGGTGTCTAGACTCCCATTAGGCTTCACTGACTCTACTGACTAACTCTTGAGCAGCTGTAAACAGCTGCTCTGCTCGTGCTGCCATACTTGTCTGGGGATCAATTCAGGTCCTCGTACACTGATGCCTAATACTATTTAAGTTGCCCTAAGGTAAAAAACTGGCTGGATGTCTGGGCCCAAAGAGCTGTGGTGAATAGAGTTACATCCAGTTGGTGGCCCGTCACAAGTGGTGTTCCCCAGGGCTCAGTATTGGGGCCGGTCCTGTTTAATATCTTTATCAATGATCTGGACGAGGGGATCGAGTGCACCCTCAGTAAGTTTGCAGATGACACCAAGTTGGGCGGGAGCGTTGATCTGCTGGAGGGTAGGAAGGCCCTACAGAGGGACCTGGACAGGCTGGATCGATGGGCCAGGGCCAACTGTATGAGGTTCAGCAAGGCTCAGTGCCGGGTCCTGCACTTGGGTCACAACAACCTCATGCAGCGCTACAGGCTTGGGGAGGAGTGGCTGGAGAGCTGCCTGGCAGAAAAGGACGTGGGGGTGTTGGTTGACAGCCAGCTGAATATGAGCCAGCAGTGTGCTCAGGTGGCCAAGAAGGCCAATGGCATCCTGGCCTGTATCAGGA